TTATTTAAAAATACTGTTGCTTGAGAAAAGGAATTTAAACAATGTTGATGAAAAAGTGATTGCAACTACAGCTGGCACTACCAGAAAATGGAACRAGACATTTGCATTTTGCATTCTACTTATATAAAAGACACATMTAAATGAAATGTAGGTATAATGACGTGTATATGTTCAAGTAAGAGACATTAGATGCATATAGAATGGTCACTGGGTCTTCAGCATCAACCATTTCACTTCACAGAGCWGTAAGACACYGCTGAGTTACTTTGCTCYWACACTGTTTRCTGCATACAGTTTCCATGTTTTTGRAAGATTTTGTGTATTGAACATTGACARTTCTGAGTGTGGTGCAAAATGGACCAAGACATAACCATTCCCAGTGAAATGTAGGCCTGGCAGAGAAGTTTTGTAACACTTCCCTTACACATATTAGCTCATTGTTCTTACTTCCAAGTCCCTGGAGGAACCTGGAGAAAGTGGAGCCTCTATCCTGGTAKGAGCAGACTGGAGGATTTGATGAAGATAATCACTGTCAGCCAGGAATCAAACTGTAGGGAGGAGTGTGGGTGAAGAGAATGTATGAAGGAAAAAATGGGATCCTAGCTCTGGATGTGGTTAAATTTAGAAAACTGACCACAGCAAACACGGAGCAGTARCACCTTTCTGGTATGATTCAGCCAGAGATCAAAGGTCTTGTACAATTAAGACTCAATTAAACTTAAAGCAAACTGCAATATCAATAAGTTCCACACATAGTTGTCTGCACACAAAGAAATAAAAATGCAAAAAATTATCTTAGCTATAGTTTTTGCTTAAGCCTATTTTTCTTACATCCATTTTCACTGGAACATACACAAAAGTTKTTACAGAGTCTTTTCAAGATCCCTAAAAGGAAGCATAACAGTTTAAAGAAGTGCACAGTGAAGGGCCAGGATTTCTGATGAGGTTTACAGAAGTATGTGCTTCAGACRGGGATTATTCTTGCAAAAAATTATGTAGGACATCTGGTCCAC